AGAAGAGAAAGAAAAAAGGAAAGATAAAGAGTAAAAAAAAAAAAAAAAAAAAAAAATATATATTGAAAAAATACCTTTAATTAAAATGATAAATAAGAAAATGTAATAACGAGGTAAAAGTAAAAGTAAGATTACCGGTTAACGAAATAGGAGAAGGAAAGAAAGACGAACTCAGTCAACAAAGATGGGAACAAAACGAACGAAAGAAGAAAGAGAGAGAGAGAGAAAGAAAAAAAGAAAGAAAAAAAAAAAAAAAGAAAAAAGTGCCAACGGTATAGACGAAAGGGAAGAAGAGAGAGAGAAAAAAAGAGAAAGATAAAGAGTAAAAAAAAGCCAACGGTATAGACGAAAGGGAAGAAGAGAGAAAGAAAGAAAAAAGAAAGATAAAGAGTAAAAAAAAGTGCCAACGTTATAGAAGGGAGAGAGAAGAAGAAAGAAAGATAAAGAGTAAAAAAAAGTGCCAACGGTATAGACGAAAGGGAAGAAGAGAGAGAGAAAGAAAGAAAGAAAGATAAAGAGTAAAAAAAAAGTGCCAACGGTATAGACGAAAGGGAGGAAGAGAGAGAGAGAGAGAGAAAGAAAAAAGAAAGAAAGATAAAGAGAAAAAAAAAGTGCAAACGGTAGAATGAAAAGGAAGAAGAGAAAGATAAAAGTAAAGGGAAGAAGAGAGAGAGAAAGAAAAAAAAGTAAAGAAGATAAAGAGCAAAAAAAAGTGTGATATAGACGAAAAGGAAGAAGAAAGGAGAGAAAGAAGATAAAGAGCAAAAAAAATGTAAAGACGAAAAAAGAAGAGATAAAAAAGAGAAAAAAAAGGAAAACGATACGAGACTTAAAGAAAAAAAAAAAGGAAAAAGAGAAGGTAAGGTAAAAGAAGCCTTATCAACGGTATATGATGCTGTTCAAAAGAGGTTCTCCGTTGAACTCTCCCTTGTGAACAGTGAACATTCGAGCGCCCAGCCAAGGACGAGGGAGAAGGGTGGGGGTGGGGGAGAACGGGGAGGAGAAGGGTGGGGTGGGGGTGGGGGGAGGAGAAGGGTGGGGTGGGGTGGGGGGAGGAGAAGGGGGGTGGGGGTGGGGGAGGAGAAGGGTGGGGTGGGGGTGGGGGGAGGAGAAGGTGGTGGAGGTGGGGGGGTGGGGAGGAGAAGGGTGGGTGGGTGGGAGGAGAAGGGTGGGGTGGGGGGGAGAAGGGTGGGGGGTGGGGGAGGAGAAGGGTGGGGTGGGGTGGGGAGGAGAAGGGTGGGGTGGGGGTGGGGGGAGGAGAAGGGGGGGTGGGGTGGGGGGAGGAGAAGGGTGGGGTGGGGGAGGAGAAGGGTGGGGTGGGGGTGGGGGGAGGAGAAGGGTGGGGGGTGGGGGGAGGAGAAGGGTGTGGGGGGGAGAAGGGTGGGTGGGGGGAGGAGAAGGGTGGGGTGGGGTAGGGGAGGAGGGGTGGGGTGGGGGTGGGGGAGTGAGAAGGGTGGGGGTGGAGGAAAACTCTTGCGGTTGGGAGGGGGTGGGGTGGGGGGGTAGGTATGAGGGGGGGGGGTTCAGTTGATGATGGGTAATGAGAATAATAATAATAATAATAATAATAATAATGATAATAATAACAGTAATAATAATAATAAAAATGATAATAATAACAGTAATGATAATAACAGTAATAATAATAGTAATAGTAATAGTTAATGGTAATAATAAGACGATGGAGATTAATGATTATGAATAATAATGATGACAATAATGATAAGGATAAGAATAATAACAGTTGTAGTAGCAACTGATATTAATAGTAATAATGAAGATGGTTAGATAATGATAGTAACTAATATTGATAATGATAATAATGGTGACATTATTATTATCATTGTTATCATTACTATCAGTATCATTATTATCATCGTTACAATTAATACTAATACTATCATTACCATCATTATTATTATTATTATTATTATCATTATCATCATTATAATCAACATCATTGTTGTTGTATTATATTGTTTATTGAAATTTTTATCAATAGTATATTGTTGTTATTACTGTTTATTGTCATTTTAGTCATTGTTATTGTTATCATTATTATTATTACTATTATCATTATTGTCATTGTTATTATCATTATTATCATTAACTGGTAAAAGGACGGTAACATAACAGAAAGTATGAGTATGGTATAAACAATATTGCTATTTTTTTTATTATTATTATTAACGAGGTACCGTTATAACCATGATTAATAACAAAATATACCAAACTGACAACTTAACTCTGGGACTCGTGCCATACTATGTAAACACTCTATACTATTTTCATAATTACAAAGTAGAACAAGTGAAGTATCTCTATCAAAGCTGAAATACAACTGTTATAAAGACAGAAGTATTATCACAGAGATACAATGTTTTCTACCACAATGAGAGAGTATTACAACCAAAGCGAAAATACCGTTTCCTTAACTACAGTAGTATTGTCACAGAGGAAAGTATCATAATCAAACGGTAAATACCACAATAGCTATAGT